ATCATTAGTTTTACTGTGATATATTCTGCTGCGGTAGCGCTAGCCCCCCAGAATATTGGAGTTCCATTTTTTTCACTTTGAGCTATTTTGTTTGCACTGCAGGCGCTTAAAGATCATGGAGCTGTGGCCTGCTTAAATGGTCCTCCTAGGCATCTAAAAGCAAGGGGGCAGTCCAGCAGAGCTGCTGGTATAAAGTGAAAAATTTATTTTTCTTTCTTTACATGTGAATTCGACGTTTCAATCCGGTGTCTTTATTTTAATATCATAATAAACTGTTTTCACAGTAAAAATGATACTAGATTGGAATGGCGAGTGCACAGTGTAAAGAAAGAAAAATCAGTTCCTCACTTTACATCAGCAGCTCTGTTGCACCCTTGCTTCTAGACGCCTAGGGAAACCACCTAAGAAAGCTACGGCGTATTTAAGACCTTGCAGTGCATGGGAAGCAGGATCTAATCTAAAACGGGTTGAACAAGACTATGACATTTATATGTAATAATGTAAAGATGATTTTATGCCACTCAACAGAGAGGTATAGCTGGAAGTTCGAATTTTTGTCAAGGTACATTATTTTTATTTTAAATTTCTATTATCCTCAGCTTTTGTCGATCAACTACTAATTGAAGTCTTCCAGGACTTTGTCATAACATTGTGTTATCTTATATTTTCATCCTTCTTGATCAAATGAACTTTCTCGGCTCATTCTGTCGTCGACTTGGGCATCTTCCAACAGGCCGTTTGCTCTGTATTGGAACTCAGTCTAACGTCTTTAAAGTCTTTTACATCAGAATGCTGGGGTACTTATCTTTTCTTGATTCTTTGATTCCTCAAAGAGCCAGTGAATCCCAGGCTGAATGATAGAAGGGAAGCTGATAATCGTTGCTTTTCGAGTTATTTGTCGCACCATCTGCAGATGATCCATCGTAATAAATTCTGTTAATTCCTTTGGCCGTGAAGCATTATTTTGTCTTTCGGGTATGTTCATCACTCCCTTCATAAAGATCCTGTAAATTATTGGTAACAGACTGACGAGCTAGAGTTTTTTAAGTCACTCCTCTTTGTTTCTGTTTTGTGGAATCGAATCACCTTTGCGGCAGTCCGATCGTCTGAAAATGTCACTTCCTTCAGTGTGAAATCCAGCGCACTAATACCTTGGCTAGTGCTTCGCTCTCTGATTCTACGAGTTCCACGGTAACGCTGTTTTAGCCAGAAACTGTTCATTACGTTGATTCAGTATTTTAAATATCCTTATCCAGACTGTCTGGTGCTAGTGTAAACAGTGGTAAATTTCGATACGCTTATCCAAATGTTTTGTTTTTCTGGCTCTCTGCGATAGAAGATTGTATGTTAGAAAGTGAGTCTTTTCGATATCAGTAAATTACCCAAGTTTTAATTCTGTTATTGATTATTGAAGCAGTGTTGTCGGACTTAAAAATGGTAGATCATTGTGTAACTTGAATTTTTGAAAGAATGAAATCCTGCACTTAAAAGCACATGCGCTTTGTTCTTCCTTGTTTTCATACTAAACTTTATATCCTGGAATCGGATCGGAAAAATTTGTCAAATTTTTTTTATTAGCGCTTTAATATTTAAGTCAAAGGTTACTGTGAAGTTTTTATCTTCGCAAATATATCAAGATTTACTAGATTTAATTAAGTTGATACTGTCTGTCCCCCCTTGGATCGCTTTGATTTCAGCTCAGCGGACTCTCGCCGATTTGAAAGGACGGAAATACTTGAATTAAATATGGATGGCAGCTTGCAAGGGTGTTGTGGGAGTCACCGTCTTTTAAATGAGTTAGCTGTAATAATAATGGAAATTATCCCTTGAAATAAATAACGTTTATTTAATGCACCATAATCCATGGTAGTAGGATGATGAAACGATCGAAGTCCTTGATCAAGAACATAACAGACTAAATCGAAAAAACTATGAAAAACTTTGTCCGTATCGCCAAAATGAAGTTTTCTTTTAAGTTGCAACGTTGATTTTTCGGCGACGAGTCATCCGTTGGAGATGGTGATGATGAGCCCAGTGTAGTGGCATTACTTAAGTGCTGCAGGCCTGTGGTCTGCCTAATCTCCTGCGAGTAATGGGGTGTCGGTCGTACTATAGCACGACATAAACAGGTTAATTAGGCATATTAACGCTAAGCTAGTATGTGTGTTGCGATGATTGTTATGGGAGGATGCATAGATTCCTTTTCTGCGCGAATAACAACTATCGATCTTCGCTTCTCGACCCGTGTTTCTTAAGGTAGTAGCTAAAATGCACGATTTAAAATGCTTTGTTTACCCAATCGGTCAGGGTTATAGTACACAGACGTCAAGTATTAGGATGACAATTATCGCCAACCTTCTCCGGCCGGGAAACAGCCTGCCGCCGATGTTAATCGATGCCGTTTGCCAGGGTCTGTTACCATGCAATGGGCGACAGCGACATCGCAGTAGACTTTATATTACACAGAATGTATTTGTGAGATGGACTGAAACATCGTTGTAGACAAGTCATTTGAATAGATTTATTTTAGTCTTGTGTGATGTATCAGCTGTTTTTTGATTTTCTCCGACTATCAGTCTGAACAGACAAATCAGGTTCCATGATTCTTCCTCACAAAATCCTTCATCTGCGCACAACATACGATAGTTCCTTGTTTCACCCCGTACAAAAGGTTCTTGTTCTAACTTGTAATTGGATAAGTGTTTATGTTTAGACCAAGCCCAGTTCGAATTCGTTTTCGTTCATTGAGCTGACGACCTTATTGATGTTCTGTTATGCTCTTCTCGGGGGATGGATCTCTTTTAGTGCGATTGCCTTTCTCATAGATAGACTTGACAAGTACTTGCTTTTAGGGTGTATAGAGATGTGTCATCACTTGGTTACTGTTGCTTTGCTGGTCTACCGTTCGAGTGTTCATTGCAATTCTTGATGGCATTCATTATTTAGATAGAAAAAATACTCTTCCTCATATTTCGCCATAGCATGCAATCCCATACGTTGTGCGTAGTCGTTCGCCTTCTGTTACGCTGGACGACGAGGTACGCTTTTTGAAAACCCTTCAAGAAAGCATGCTGAACATTCTGCATCGCTTGTCTACCGTCTAATAAAGCATCAGATTACCGAATTGAACTGCAACTTTACAAGCTTTATTTGTTCTTCCTTGACTTTTAGTATTATTTTAATCAAGCCTTTACATGTCATTGTTTCGTTTACCTTCTTTTAATGCATTTTTAAACTGAATTTTTAAATCTTCTTTTTATGTTTTAGAACTTCAAGTCGCACAGAAAAATTTTGCCAAGACATTACGTGACCTACGATTAGAGACCATTGGAACCAATCAGACTGAGGACGAGAAAGTGATAGGCAAGTTTGCATAGAGTCTCTACTTTACCACACGTCTACCTTTGTCACATGCACTTGACGTTAGTCGTATTTTTTACCTGTGACACAGTAACTTTGAATAACGGCTATTGCGTTACTTGCAGCAAGCAACTGTGATGCTTGCATGCCAAAGCGTCGCCGCTATTGGACACCTATGCAACATTTGGGCTGAAAGGGTGTACCTCTTTCGGAAAACCTCCCCCTCTTCGTACCTTGCCTCCGCCAGAACCGTTGTACGGCATGCAGGCAGTTGTTTTCTAGCGAAAGAGTTAGAACGACGGTTGACCTGTGGTCAGAAGGGTTGGCTGTAGCCGATAATGATGCTAAATAACAGGATCACGTAAACAGTAACTGTTTAGTTCCAGACATAGTTCAAATTCATTGATGTGGAGGTTAAGAAAAGATGTCCACCCTCTTAGACTCTTAGACAGGTTGAGGATAAACCATTTGCTCTAACTCGATAACCTCTCATATGGGAACCGAGGTATGGCAGACCTAATCCAGGAAGCCAGAAAGCAAGTTAGAGGCAGGTTTTTGTTCAGGGAGCAGTTATTCTCTCTATGATGCGATAGTAGGAGCTTGTAGCAGAAGTATTGAGAAGCTGAGAATGCAGCAGATGACATAAATTAGAGGCGTCCTGCTTTCGCAGGCTAGTATAAAACTAGTTATTTAATCTCGACAGACAATATGATAGCATATCTTTTCATTTCTTGCTTTTTTAAATTTCTTTGGTTAACGTTCTTTTGTTTTAGTAAGCAGTCTCAAAGAATACAGCAATTTTATTTTTCAAGTCGAAGAGCAAAGAGATCACATTGTAAGTATCATGTGTTGAATTCGTTGTTAAGTTCAGCGTGTCATCTTTTTCCCCAGTCTTACTGTTGTTTTTTCTTCCTTCACTCTTACTGCTGTTATATGCATCTCAGCCATAAGTTGTTATATATTTAATTTTTATAACTTTCGTCAGAACCAAATATCGTTGGCCCCTTGTGAAGGTGACTGTATTTACGACAAGTCGATATGTCTGAATTATGTGAGATTCAAAGTTGATCTTTTTCCGTGTCGCTTAGATTTGTTTGAAATTAAACGTATACTTGAAAAGGAAGAACAGTGAAGTAGATGACTTAAAGGAGTAGAAAGAGAAAACGAAGAGTGGACGAAGAATAAGATGAAGAAGGAAATAATGTAGGAGATTAAGTGGAAGGATGAAAAGGGGTAGAAAGAGAACAAGATAGAGGGGAAGAAAATGGTAAAGAAACAGGAGAAGGAAGGATAATGAGAAAAAGCACAAGATGAAAATGAAGAGGTAAGACGAGAAGGAGGAGAAAAGGAAGATGAGAAAAAAGATAATAAAAAGTAAAAAAATTAAGCGGGTGATAGGGAGGGACAAAAGAGGAAGAAGGGGGTGAACTTGAAGGTGGTGATGAAGTTTATTCTCAGTAGATCAAAGGAGAGCTAACAGTAGATTTGTTTTACATTCTAAAGTTATATTAAACTTTGTTTTTTAGAAACTATTTTTTCAAAATCGTTTTTAATTTAGACTGTTCTGTATTACTTTTAGCTGTGTAAAACTGACGAATCGTACATTGAACCACTTCGGAAATTCCGTATCGAAAGGATAGGCAATGCTCTTCAGGTAAGTGATAGGTCGCAACGCTTCTTATTATTGTTGTTATGGCGATTCACCTAGTCGGAACGAAAGAAGTACGAAAAGGCTAGTGCGAAGTTTTACCAAACGCTGGAAAAACACCTTCATACGTCGACGACTAAAAAGAACGATTTCAAGGGAGCCGACGATCTGCTGGATCTTGAGCAGCGGAATTTTCATCGCGCGTCGTTAGATTACGTACTGGTGCTACAGTCGGTACAAGAACGGATGAAGTTCGAGTTTGTCGAGACGCTTTCCTCTTTCCTCTACAGCTGGCTGAGTTTTTATCACGTCGGTACGTTTTCTTATGGGTCAGGCTTCTGTAGTTCAAGGTGTTGTTGTGTGCGACGGTAGCGTTAACGGAGTTCATCGTTGTTTAAGGCTACGTCATGCACGAGGACTTCAAACCGTACCTGGACAACGTAAAGCGGCGAGTACAGAAGGCAAAAGAAAGTTTTCTGTCCACGCAAGCGGAGGCCGAAGATCTGAAAATGAAGATGCTCTCCATGCACCGGGTACCGCTGTTTTGCGATGATCACCGTCGACTAGACTGTCACGTCATTTTTCTTCTTCTATAGAGTAATGAGGAAAGTTCGAGCCGAATTTCTGTCAAGCAGGGTTATCTGTACTTGCTAGAGAGGAGTAAGTGACGCGTTTCTTCTTTCATTCGTTTCGTTCGTACTTCAATCACAGTACATGTTTCCAGAAAACCTGGTCACCGCATGGACGAAGCACTACTGTGTTTACCAGAAAGAGAGCAGAATGTTTACGATGATACCGTTTTCGCAGAACTCCAAGCATGACTTCAATACGGCTTACGTAAGAAAGAAGGCCGACCGGGCGACAGATGGCCGTCATCTTTCACACGTTACCATCGTTTAGAGCCAAAATATATCTAAGAAGTTGAAGTCGTGCACTCGCCGAGCTTCCGACTCGATCGACAAACGGTTCTGTTTTGACGTCACTTTCGATGAGTAGGTTTTTTTTCTATGAGTGGTCCTCCGAATTACTCACCGCCTGACCTCCTCTTGTTGTAGGTGTTCCGAAGTATTAACATTCCAGGCACTGTCTGAGGAAGACAGACGGTTGTGGCTTGATTCACTTGATGGCAAGGAGCCGGTACTTATTTTGAACTTTTTACGCGTTGTCGTTTTTGCGTTCTTTTCTCATCTCATCTGTGGTTACCTTTTTCGTTCGTTTCAGATCCACAGTCCTACTTCGAGCTCCGCCAATATGTTTGAATGTAAGTTTTACTTTTGCTTGCTTTGAATCAAATTTTTTGATGCACTTATGTCGAGAGTTTGTTGTTTGTATGCTATGCTCTTGACTGTCCATGTAGTCTTCACACGATTTGCTGCACAACTTTTTGTTACCGAACGCAACATTATAAGTAGAAGCGCACCTTACGTCATAGCGATGCTGTACATTTGGAGTTCCTGTTTCTGACATCCCTTCTCACGCAGTCATTGTTTAGATCATGAACTGTTTTACGCTTCCTCTTTGAATCACTGCCCAACTGATACGCAACTCATTTCGATCACATTTTCGCCCTTTTCGAATCACTCGTGATGAGGAACACGGATAATATTCATTCATGAAGAAGAACGAAGTGAATCTGTTCTATTTCTTGACATCATGATTAAAACGAGGTCTAGCAAAATTTTTTCATGTTTATCGCAAGAAGCAGAACAGTGTCCTTTATGCGCTGTCACGCGCAATTTAAAGAATATTGTTACCAGCATGCGAAGGCTTCCTACAGTTTTTTGTGTAAGCAAGAAATGTCTATCCCGTGCAACATTTTGCACAAGAATGGTTAAACAGCTCCGAACAGCGTATATGAATGAACCGGACAGAAGCAGCCACATGACATTTACTACAAGAAGCAACGAGTCCTGCCGTTTCCCGGTATGCTTATAAAGAGTGACAACAAAAGGAACCGTTGAAAGTTTGAATTTTCGGTCTGCCGAAAGCCTATTCACTCCTAAGTATCTTCACCAAAAATTTTGCGCTCCACTTATGTTAGTCAAGAATATGGCTAAGAATATGGTGAAGCACGGGAATTCATGCAGAGGCAACGTGAAACACTCAAAAATTCAAGAATGTGCCATTCTTAAAAGACTTTTTTCTTAAATACTCTAATTTGCCGACATTTTTAAGCAGTGACTTGCTGCACCCAAGATTCAGCTTAAACAAATCACCAGAAAATAGATCCGAAATTGCCATTCGATTTTACCCCAAGGTCAAAAAAATATTTAATGAAATGAGGTTTGTGGTCTTCTACAAAAAGTGAACACTGCGGATGGTTCGTTTTCAGAAGCCTTTTCTAGACGCCTCAACGGAAGCCACCAATTTAGCTTGTATGTGTAGTGTATTGGGGCAGAATTTTTGAAGGTAAGACGGATTAACACAGAGTGAACGATATATATATATAAAGCTTGTCAGAACGGAATCAGTTTTGCTTTTTTCTCTTTTTCAGTAGCATGCGTAAGTTTCACCATGACGGAAAAATATAAAAGCCCCTTGGATTAAGAATATAAAAACCTCACGTTCTACTTTTGTTATAAATTGAGTTAGGTCGTCAAAATCGACACTTCAGGTGGCAGTTCGTTGAAGAACCGTTGTCGAGCTTTTTCCAACCGTCGCTTTTCTTCTGTTGTCAGGCTGTGATGGTATTCCGCATTTATGTATTCTAACATCATTATTTGTAATGGTCCGACGGTTGACACAACGGTAGGACACTGTGCAATTTATAGAATAAATTTTATCGTTTTTTTAATCTCTATCTGTTGTTCTTAGTTGTAGAA